TTCTCTCTGGTATACCCAGAGATGTGTTTGTGAAGGTAAAGTAACTGATATTTAAAAAGGCTCTCATGAGGAAACTGCACATAAAACAGGACAAAACTGAACTTACTTTGCATTTTAATTTAAAACAATTTAAAAATTCACCCTTTTCTAAGATCATAGTTTAGATCTGCGCTAGGGATGTAGATGAGGGGCAAATGTTGGACATTAACTTAAGTTTATGATGTTATTGCACATTAAGTTCTTTTGCAAAATAATTTAGTATTGATTGAAAATAAATTGTTAAATTTTGAATTAATCATTTCTTTTCCTCTAGCTAAAGATGAAATAAATTTTTCTCAGTGTTAGAGTACTTGTGCGATTTTTCGAAAAGCATATTATTATAAATGTTAATTTCATTACACAGCTGAGGAAGAAGGGTTTTTTCCTATGAAGGTGGTGAGACACTGGCAGAGGTTGCCCAGGGAGTCTGTGGCTGCCCCAACCCTGGCAGTGTTCAGTCAGGTTCGATAAAACCTTGAGCAACCTGCTCTGGTGGGAGGTGTCCCTGCCCAGGGCAGCGGGGTAGGGCTAGATTATCTGTAAGGTCATTTCCAACCTCTAAAATTCTATGATTCTATGATAATACTCATATAAACATGATCTCAAATGTGACACAATATCATGTTTATTTTATTTGTAATCACATCTGTAAGAAAAATTTCAGACTGGATATGTTATTCACAGATTTTTTCATGTTTTATATGTATTCAAATGCATCACAATTGAGTTGAATTAATGGAACATTATCTTTTCAATGTCAGAGAAGAATTAACATTGCAGTTCTAAGCATTTCATGAATAATAGTTATTTTAAAATAGCTTCCATCTCCTCTTCCTTCTTCATATAGTGGTTACTCACTAGTCCTTACCTCGTTATAGCAGATGAGCTTGCTGTCATTTGTGGAGGAAACATATTTCTGGAGTTCCATTAGAAATAACGAAGATTTTAGTCATTTTGAATTACTCTGACAGAGATTCTCTGCATCACTGGCTTCTAGTGAGAGATAAATTTTCACTAGAAAAGTAAGAGATGTCCAAGTGAGTACTAAGTCCTCAGATTAATCTCAGTGGAAGAGAAAACCCAGCATTTAAGGAGGTTTTACAGGCAAATATGGGAATATGGAAGACAATGTTCGCACGACAGAGGAAATTACAGACTATAAGGGTATTGCACAGCTTTGGAAAAATCAGGCAGGCAAATTGCACCTGCCTATTGTATATAGTCACAATAGTATAGAATTAGGATGTTTTGCATATTCATATTACATATTACATATTACATATGTGATTTTCTTATGGGTTTCACTTGAACTCTTTAATTTCTTAGCTTTGATTCTGACATGTTTGTAATACATATAGTGTACTTCAAGTAAATCAGATGCATACCTTTTTACTCTTTGAGACATTTTTAGTTTTAGCTTTTGACTTTAGCATTAGAAATCTGTTCATGCACTTGTGTGGCAATTCTAATAGCATTGTAATTGCATCTTCTTGTAGCATTCTACAAGGAGATTTTTTGTATTTAGTCAATAAAATTTAATCACTTAATTCATCACTGTAAAGAGAAGAAAACCAGATGATTTTAGTCCCTCCTGTGTAACTCACATAAATATATCATTCTCCATCATAGTTGTACCATTAGAGGTATTGCAAAACACTGTGCCATTTGGCTATATCTATACTAGCTAAAAATGTGAGTTCAATGTATGACCTGAATTGTGTTATGCAGACATTCAGTAATAGTCTGGATATAAGAGAAGCTCCACATGAAGAGTACATTCCTTTGATGAATTCCTTCTCCAGTCTGTAAATTTAGAACTCCAAGAAGAGTACAAGTGCATGAAACCTTGTGTCTTTGGGGCTGTTTTTTTTTCTGAAGAATGGCGTGGCGGGTTGAACACTTCCAACAGCTAAGCCCCCGCATAGTTTCTCACTTGCTCACCATCCCCACCAAGGACAGGGGAGAGAATCAGAAGGGCAAAAGACAGTTAAGTGAAAGATAAAAAAACTGAAAAGCAAACGAGATCAAAGGTAATAATTCATTACCTCCTCCCACCAGCAGTCTGTTACTCAGACAGTCTCTGAGCAGTGGTAGTTTTGGAAACATCATCCCTTCCTGCCCTCCCAAATTCACACACCCAAGCCTGCCTATCCCCAGCCTGCACACTTTGGTGGCAGGTTGAGAAACTGATTAAGCCCTGACTGTACACAGGCACTGTTTAGCAATAGCTGAAAAATAAACATGTCATCTACACTGGTCCCAAACCTAAAACACAACATGACATGGGCTGCTATGAGGAGAACCTCTGTCCTGGCCAGACCTGAAAGAAAAAGTCAATGCCTTTTGATCTTCAGATTTAAAATTGTCTGCTTTATCCTTTGTGCAGACACGTTAATGCTTCTTTTTTTTTTCTCTCTCTCTAAATGATTGAATATGAGGCTTATAGACAGAACTGTTCTGGATTGCAGCAACTGTGCTGTAAAACAGGTATAACACATACAGAGGTAAAAAAAGGGACATAGAGGATAAAAATATTTTGAGAGAAGAAGCAAGAATGGATGTGGCTAGAAGAATAATGTTACAGATTTGACTTATTAGTATGGAAGTAGCAAGGAATTAATACAATAAGGAAAGATTATGTTGAATGTGTACAATATGTTCATATGCAAATCTATGTTGTATCTAGGTGCTTTTGCTGATGATAAACTACACATTTTAATATCAAAATATCATTTTAATGTACATCTTTGAGAGCTGCACACTTAGACTGAGAGATGACAATCTAGAAGTACCTTTTACTCAAAATTAAATTTCTAATTAAAAAAATAAGGATTTTCTTTGTTAATTGTCTGTAACTAACACTCTGTACAGTCCTTGTCATATCAAAGTCCTTTTAATTATGAGAGATGTTTAAGTTGTCATTTCAGTAGCTTTCAGGAAAATCTAGAGCCATTCAGGTCATTGTGAATGGCAGAATTTACATTGCTGGGACTGAGGATTTAGGTGAACCTTAGGAGAAAAGAAAGCCTGGCTTTGCTGTACCTATTACTCTGAAGGCCACACTTAGTCTTCCAGTAATGCTAACAGGTGGACAGGGATATGTCTGTCTGTCCATGTCTTCAGTGCATGTTTCAGTGCTTTATGTGAAATTCATATTGATGGTTTTGAACACAGAAGTTGTCTGGATTTCTGTTTGGAAAGGGTCAATGCTGTGTCTGCTACAGGAACTGAAGGGAATTAAACAGCAGGTGCCCACGTTTTCGAAGTGAAATACACAGGTTCAGGTCACAGTAGACCTGAGTCTATGCTCGGGTTACCTAAGCCTGTCACACAGACAAAGGTATTTAACTGAGTTACTGAAGTCTCTCAGTGATGTAGTAGACACCAGAGAGTTGATCGAACTGTGGGATCCAGGATTATTTCTGAATGGCTTGGAAAAGGTTTCTGATGAAGGAAATGATAAACTTGGTTTAATAATTAGCCATTGAATCCAATTTAAGTAACAAACTTGCACACTCTAAGCATTTACATGAGTGAAGGGCATATGTTCGTTCTTCCCCTGAAGAAGTGGCCAGTCACTATTTTATAATGATTTTCTGTACCATATCTAATGCTTTGGCACTACTTTTATTATGTCTGTAATGTTAGTATAAATGAAGTACTGCAACAAATTCTTCTTCCATTGTAACCTTGCCTAGATTTTCTTCTTTTTAAAAAATGTGTGGGAATACTTTCTTTAAAACACTATCAGGGGAATTTTTCATTTTGTATAATGAAGCCCCTGCATGAATCTTAAGTGGAGGGTGTTTTCCTAAACCGAGCTTAGAAATGAATCTTAGTGTTTCAAAGAATGTAAGCAACTTGCAGTTCCTTAATTGTGAAATGCTAAGGAAGCTGAATGAAGAAAACAAGAAAATCTTCATTTTAAACTTGCTTTAACATCCGGTGTGTGTTAGGGACCTATAATTCAGGACTTAGTGGAGACATTTAACAAATCACACACACCCCCACCAATGTCTAAACATGGCTAGAAAAAGTAAAATACTAGTCTCGTTATCTATGCAGGGAATGCTAATGCCTATAATTGGTCATTGTCTGACCCTTGTATTTTTCTGTCCTGATAACTCTGTCAGCCTGCAAGCTAATTTTATGGTTCTTTTGTGAAATCTTTCAGTGGTGTTATCAGGGAGAGTGTGTACCTTTTGGCACTTGGCCCCAGAGCGTAGATGGGGGCTGGGGTCCGTGGTCAATATGGGGAGAGTGCAGCAGGACCTGCGGTGGAGGAGTCTCCTCATCTATAAGACACTGTGACAGTCCAGCGTAAGTAGCTAAAGTAAGCCGGAGCCAACAAAAAGACACATTTGGAAATTATTCAAAACTGTGGTTTCACATGTTATCTGTAAAAATGTTTTGCGAGTTTGCCAACATTTGTCTTCAAAATATCAGACAGAAACACTTAAACAGAAGTTCACTAGACATACTTGTAACGTTTTTAATGTATCTTATGCACTGTAAAGATAGCTGGATTTATATTTAGCAGTAACCAGAATGGTTTTCTTTATGCAACTTGCTGCTCATCAAAATATATTTAAATTATGCCTTAGGTAGATACCTTTCTTAGGACATATTTCCTCTAATGCTTGTCTAGGATATCAAGTAACAGTTTCCAGTTACTTATTAAGAAAACCCTTACACAGTATTTCCAAGGTTTTGCATATAACTGCTTACATATAAACCTTAGTTAGTAGCAGTATATTGCATACAATAAATTTATGTGCTGTCATGTCCAACACTTCAGTTGTGACTTCCCATGGACTCTTAAAACAACTCAGTAACTTCTTTCCCTGTCACTACTCTCAATTGGTCCACTTGCTCCCTCTGAAGAATGTCCAGCTTCTCCACTACAGCTTGATCTGTTTTGTGTATCTTTACTGGTCTTATAATCTGTCTGTTTTCCAATGTTCTGAGCACTGTTCCAGAGAAGATCTCTCAGGTGAGTGCTTCTCTCTCTGTCACTAGTGATCCTCAGATGAGGAATGCATATTTACATTGCTGTTCTGTGCTGAATGAATTACTGCTTTTATTTCTGTTGCTGCTTTTGCCTCACCTGTGCTGAGATTACCTTATCACTGGTCTTTGTGGAATAGCTTCATTACGCCATACTCTCTTCTTGTCACGTCCCATAATTGCTCTTTCCATCACCACTATTAGTTTTTAGGACCACTTTTTTTGGGAAATATTTTGTGTTCCTTTCATGAAAATCCATTCTGTGTCTTTAGTCACTTCTCTCTTATCCTCTGCTCTCTGTATGCTTAGGTTCTTTGTTGCTTATATCTATGTTTTGCCAGCCAGGCAGTTTTCCCCTGCAATCTGCAAGACACAGACCACAATGTCACATTACTGCTGCTTAAGGTGGTCTGTTCACCTCCTATCATTACCTATAACTACCTGATCTGGCAAATATAACTTCTGACTCAATGGATTCAAAAGCAGAAATTATCTGTATGAATCAATAGCATGTCAGACTACATTACTGAGAGAATAATGAATTCAATTCATTATTTTTTCACAGCAGTATGTAAAAATGCTAGTGAAATTGTTGTTTGGAGCATGAATAACTACCCAAGATTCTTTCACTACTCCTGTCATCATGTATTTGGTTTGGTATGATGAAAAGTGATTAAATTTTTAATGTTTAACAGGAGTATGCAGTCGGGATAAAAGAATCATTTTGGTTCAAGGATAGCATTGTCTGGTTAAATATCTGTAAAGTGAAAAGTAGTATTGATTTACCTTTTTGTTAATTGTAAGTTGTAAATTCTTTTAGTTTTTTTTTTATTATAAAAGCCCCACAAAGCATTTTTCCTTTCTGATTTCAAGTTGCAAGCCAGAGAGCTGATGTCTGATTAATCTTCCATTTAACTCAAAGTTAATTCATTATTTGAGTTCTATGGAAGATAGCTAAGGTTCTTGAACAGTTTGGGATTTTAAGAGCCAATGTCTTACATTAATAGACACCTGGTTACTCAGATTTAATACTGATTAATTCAAATCAGAATCAAATTCTTGTACTAGAATGCACAGACTTTGCAGGTTCTGAGTGTAAAACCAATCTTTGCTGATTTTCAAGTAAGATGAGGAGATTTTTTTAAAAATATATCACATAGGTTGTTTACACCTTTATCAGTTTTATAAACCAAGCAAATGATTAAACCCAACACTTTTATAGCATGTTAAAAATACAATTTACTGCTTGGAACCTATGCAAACCAGATGAATATTATATGGGTTATGATTTTTCAGGTACCCACTATTGTTTTGCACTAGTCTAATGCAAGTTAATGCTGCAATTCTTATTGAATGAAATATTTTAAAGCCTTATCTTAAAACTCAAACTTTTATTCTTACTTATATATCTCTTGGAATTGTATTAATACTAATGATGCATTAGTACATCTCATGAAGTGGTGTTTGTACTGATGCATATATTAACATGTATAACTTGTTTTTCCAGGCCTTCAGGTGGAGGCAAATATTGCCTTGGAGAAAGGAAGCGTTATCGCTCCTGTAATACTGATGTAAGTAGTTTTTGTTCCACTGTTATCGACTTGACTGTTTTAAATTTTGGCAGCAATGGGTGTTTTTTTGCTGCTGCTCAGAAAAGCTGTGGATTCTGCATGTAATTTGCAAACAGTCCTGTAAGGCACTTCCACATTAAAGGCAGCCTACGTGTTCTTCTAAGTGTTAGGATATCTGTCTCGATGTGGTGCCTAGTTGGCACCTTTGTGTTAAGGCCTGGAGTGAATTCAACTTGAGTTTCCATGTTAAAGGTGAACAAGGCTCATCAGACAGACTAAGGATCTGTCTAGCCCACTGTCTTATCTCCCCACAGTGGCAAATATCAGGGGTTTTAATCTATATAATATAATGTTTTAAAATAATATACACTTCTGGCAGGCAAGGCATGATTTTTCTCTGGATTTGCTGTATGAGTTTCTAGAAGGTGGGTGTCTAAATATTTCCAGAGCTCCAAATCGTATCTGTATCACATTAACTGCCACAAATGAAAGTATGCTCCATGCATCCACTTTTAAGTCCTGTTATACTTTCTATACCTTTATATCATCCCATGCTAATCTGTTACACAATTATCTTATACATTCTGTGAAAATATATTCTAACCTGCTGGTCTGCCATCAGGTAGTCGCTGGTTATTTTAGTACCAAAATGATCATGTAGCTTCATTTTACATCTAAGCATGAGGGGATGGGACAGAGTATAAAGGTAAAAAGTCAAGTTATGAACCTAAATTACAAAGGCAAGTAACTTAAAAACTAAATCAGGAAAAAATACATACCAGTAAAGAATGTCATTAGCAAGTTTCCAAGTCAAATTTCAGGCCAATACCACTGTAAACATAAAAAGACTTTCCTATGATTTTAGCTTCAAAATCATGTTATTTTTCACCTTAAAACAAGAAAGTTTGTTACACTGAGAGAATCTATGCCTAAAGGTATTGTCTCACCTCTTAATCCTTTGATATATTCAAGAAAAACATAATAATTTGTGTACTGGTTCTTTGAAAAAAATCAGGTTTGTGATCATTATTAACTGTCATAAGTATAGGGTCTGCAAACTTCTCTGTGGAGGTTATTCTCATTATTAGGTCATATTACAAATTTCCAAATTAAAAATTGCTTTCCTGCTGCTGATCACATCTGCTCAATTTACACAGCCAAGAAGCCACCATGGTGTTGTAAGAGAAACTCAAGTTTAGCAGATAGTCCAGTAGGAGCTGTTTCTGAAACTTGGATGACTTTATTTTTTTCCTGTAGATGTGTATCTTTGCCCTTGTCTGTCTTTGTGCAATTTTCTTTTGAATGGATCCAGTTTGTCAGAGGATCCCCTGCAAATAATTTACCTTTCCTTCTATTTTCATTCAGACAGTCTTTTTGTAATTTGAAGTCTTCATAAGTGAGGAATTTCTTCGTAGTTCTAGTTCATAAATGAAGATGTTGAATCACGCTGAGTGTTTCTTATTCTCTCTGTTGATAGGAAATTTACTCAAAAATTCACCAAATAAGTGTTGATTATGTTCTGAAATCCGTCAGTCAATATTTAGTAAATTCCATATATGCTTTACTGTTGAAGCCTTTCCTGTGTCCAGATTACTATCATGTCTCTTCCTAGTCTTTACACTAGACAGTCTCTGTGCTGATAACCATTGGGATCTCACCAGTGCACATCTTCTTGAACTGTGGTGCCCAAACCTCTGCACTAGCTGAGGCCTGTCAGGGATAACTCTGACTTCAAACTTAGTGTGTCATCTTAGGGATGGCATTCAGTTTATTCATTGTAGTAATGTGTTAATTTTTCTTACAGGAATGACAATGTTAATTTAGTGTGTGTTGATTTTTTATGCCCAGGTCTCTTTCTAAAAAGCTGCTTTTTTGGACGTCACTTCTCGGCTGTGCTTTCACAGCTGATTGAGCACGCCCAAGTGTAGTAATTTGCATCCATTCAGACTACTGCCCCAGTTCGTAAAACTATTTTAAATTTCAAGTCCTCTTTTCCAAAATATTAATTACCTCTGATCAGATTTCAATCAGTGATTTCAACAACTTACTAGAGAGGAGACTTTGCATTTCATTGTCCAGGTCTTAAAAACAAGTTGAGCAATTACAAATTTAGGCCAGGCAATTTAGAAATGCCATTCTTATAGTTTGTCTGTGAATCACTTCATTAGCATGCTTTTTGGGTATGGGTTTTCAGTACATAAACAAATTGGTACTTACAGAAGTTTAAATTTACAGCCTTAATGGTTTTGACAATTGTGGTCTGTTTCTTTTATAGTAATATTTAGGGTTCTACATCACTAAGAACAGCAGAGACTAGTAGATTTTATTTCAAGATTTATGATAGTCCTTAGTGCTTGACAATTTTAATGGAATGGTATGTTTGATTAATGTAAGCATTAAGAGCATGCAAATCTGTCATTGTTTTTATTAATAATGTGTTGCTTGTACATCTTTTATGTTGAAGCTTATTTTGCAGTGTCAACATTCATTGCCCATCTGTAATGTACAACACAGCACTCCCTAAAGCTCCTACTATTCATAACCCAAAAAAACCCCCTCAATTTAACTTCATTTTTCTTTCAGAGATGAGTTAGTTCTGTTGCCCTTTCTTTTGACCATTTTAATCCTTTGGAAACAGCACACACACTCCTACTAGGCTTATTTCTCATCAAGCACTTCCAAAGCCATATATGACTTCCTAATTCAAAAGGCATCTGCTAATGGAAACACTGAGATCAGCAGAAAATAACATTAGCTAATGAGTTCTGGAAACAAAAGGGTGGTAGAAAGAACACACTCATCAGAAAATTATTTTCTACCACTAACCACACTATCTCTAGGAAAAATAAATGCATTTTTCCAACCAAAGCAGTTTTAATAAAAAAAATGCAAAATGCTAATAGAATTGCAAGATAAATAATTTCTCGCTTGAAGTAACTCATTGAGTTAAAATATGTGTTAGGATGTGAAGCCGAATTTAATATATATCTAAAACTGTAAAAGCCTCCATTTTAATATATATGATGATAAACATAGTTTGCTTACAAAGTTCTGAGAATGTTTTATCTATCTGAGTGTGTATACATACTCTCAAGAGTTTCTCGTTCTTCAGTCCTTTCTCTTACTAGATGTAGGCAAATGGGTTTTGCTGGTTCCTTTCATTATTCATTCATAGATTTTGTTAATTGCTTTCATAGTTTTAATATTTTCAAGCACTTTTTTTCTAAAATACTTTCGTGTTAGAAGGTACATCTTGGAACAATACCTGAGTTGGAACTGCCACTCTCCTGGCTGTGTTTGTCATCTTCTCTGAGGTGCTGTACAGACCTTTGTTAATGGAAAACAATGACTTCAACAATGAAGTTTGCCAGACCCTAAGCTCCAAGATAGACAGATGTTTGTTGTTGTGTCAGTCTTGGTTCAATAATTTACTAACACATTTTTAATTCAAAGCTTCTTCTTTTCAGCATCTTCTTCAGACCTGATTTGAGTTCTCATACATTTGTTAGACTCCTGCCTCATGATTTACAATCTCATAAAAGAGCACATGGAAACACAAACAATCTGTTGCTTGACAAGGGTGATCCATGTACTATAGTGGCATGAAGGAGTGAAATACCTTACCCAATAAAGAGAAGCAGTTATTGCACACAGAGTTTGGGAAAGGAGTACATACACAAGGAGACAGTGCCAAAGAGCTGACATTTTGTAAAGGCATATTGTAGCTTACCTAGAAGTTATGTTTTGCTTTTCTATACCTATGGTTTTCATTAGACTACAATGTTGGAAGGGGCCTCAAGGATGATCTGGTCCGACATTTCATTTCATGGTCTGAACAAGAGAGCCCAGCACCCTGTCCACCCAAATCTTAAAAATGCCCACTGCTGGGAAATTACAGCTTCTCTGGTGAGATTATTGCAGTGGCTGATTTTTCTCATTGACCATTATCAGAGAGATTCAGACTCAGACTTTGAGAGGGCTCAAATTTGATCCTTCCACTACTTGGAGAATGTATCGCAGAGACAAATTTAATTTGTGTTACTGTTTAAAACATTCTAAAATTCTTAGTTTTGTTTATGTAGTTATTTTTTATTCACACCGTTATGATCTGAAAGATTATTGAATTCAAGTAGTTGCACTGCTCTTTTTTTTGCCAGTAAATGCATTGTATTCAAAAATGTATTTTTAATTAGAAGGAGGTAATAGTGGGAAGTATAGGCAAAATTTAAAATGTAAATACTGTCTAATGTCCACTATTAATTTATATTGCTACAGCTTCAGAATTGGAGAAAAAATTTCCACTTTCTGAATCATATTGCAATCGGCTGGCAATAAAAAGATCTTGATTAATGTATAGTGAGAATCATAATTATTATGTTAATAGTTGCATTGTGAAGTAAATTTTTAGCATTCCTGTCTGTAGACACCCTTTCACTTGAATGCATTTCAGATTTCTGAGAAGTGTTAACTGGCTTAGATACATAGGAAGACAAGTAAAACTGCCATAAAATGGACTTTTCTGTTGCTCATAAAATATGTATTAACACCTCTGATGGCTGTCAAACAAATTCTTTTCTCTTCCAGTCTAAACATGGTTTTAATCTGTATTTTAAATACTTTGTCTGATGAAGCTTCCAATTTCAGCAGGTACTTAAACATTGATAGCAGTGTTTAATGTGCTGGGGCTGTAGTCAAGATTACTTGTCATTATTACTTTGGATCTGCTTATGAAAATTGTGAGAAATAATAGCAAAGAATTGTGTTTCTCCTAATATTCTTTCCAAGATTAATTTTACTTAATTATACCCTCATTCCAAGTAACAAAGATACGTTATAGTTTTATAATTGGAAATGCAAAGCAATGAAATTTTAAATAAAAGTTTTAATTTCTTGATGCTTGGAGACTGGTAATAATCACAGCCAGACATGCTGTCTATTGTCATTTTCAGCTTTAAAACAATACTTTTGTCAAGTCTACAAGTAAGCAGGAGTGGTGCAGCTCTCTAGAAACTGTTGGGTTTTTTTTCTTGATGTCTTAATAACTTGTCTCAGTACAGCTGCTTAGTACAGTATAACGGCCTACAGCTCTTACCAGATTTTTTTCCAGCTGTTTTTAATGTGTTTATAAGGAGGTAGCTGATGGATTGATTATGACAAGTAGTTTGACAGGAATCTGATTTTCCAGTTTTATGGAAACTGTTCTATAACACTTACCTTTCGTTAAATTGCTTCAGCTACTTCATGCCAGCCTAAGATTGCAAAGTATACACTTCAACTGTAAAGGAATAAAGCAAATTCTTTCATGTTGATATTTAGAATAAATTAAATTTTTGTCTCATTTTTAAGCCGTGTCCTTCAGGAGCCCGTGACTTTCGAGAGAAGCAATGTGCGGATTTTGACAATATGCCTTTCCGGGGAAAGTATTATAACTGGAAACCCTACACTGGAGGTAATGATTACCAAAAATGTTTCCTGTGTGAAGTCTTCAAAATGATATAAAATGTTTGCAAATAGAATGTTTTGATTAAAATAGAACAAACTCAGTTAGCTTAGCTTGTGCTTTTGTCAATTGCTGAAAACTTTGCAGAAGAGCAACATTAGTCCACTCTGGTAGATTTTGTTTTCCGGTGGAGGGGAGTGAGCTGCATTTTAGGGACTCCACTTTAAAATATGAAGCCCTTTTCCACCTGCAGTTGCAATAGAGTTAGAGATTCCATAGGTGATCTGTAAGTGCTTTTCATGGTACAGCGTTGAGTTCAGTATTAACAAAAAAATCTCACAGTAACTTTTCCTTCCATAAAGTCAGAATATTAGGAAATTGAGAAAGAAGAAAAAGCATTTATAAGAGCCTGTGAAGACTACTTCAATAATTGAGTTTTAAGTAATTGCACTGTTTAACAAAAGGATGTTTTGAACCAGGGAGGAGGGTTATAATTTCCTGGTTTTTTGAGAGAGTTTAATTAACTTTAGTTATGTTTCTACCACTGTTCAAATTTCGTATGTTGCCATTTATTTTTCTATTTTTCTGTTCTAAATCCTGAGTAAATAAGTACAAATTCCCCTCATGTTTTTGTATTTTATTGGCTTGCTAGGTTTTACCAATGATTTTTAGATTAAGAACCTAAAAAGGGTCATCATGATGATGTGGTCTGAGCTTTAGTGTTATTCAAGAAGACTAAATTTCCAATTGAAATAGTCTGATATTGGTTTTGAAATTTACCCTGATACACTTCTAGCACTACATTCTGTTGTTATTCTTGTTTCTCAAATAGTGAAGTACTATCCTTACTGTTATAAATTGTTCAGTCATCATTAGGATTGTGCTAACATAATGGAATTGTTATGGAGTCAGTTAACCTTGCCATGTCTTACTATGAGAAAAAATGTTTTTTTTCAAGAGAGAAGAGTTAAGTAGAGAAATCAGGAAGGGGAAGTTAAATAAAGTCTATGCATTATATGTGTCAGGTATGAGATAAGATTATAAATTTCAGATCTGTGTCTGCATAATATTTTCAACTAAATGTCAATGTTTCAAGATTTCTCAGTGGGGTTTTTTCCTTTCATTTGTTATTTTTTCCAGGTGGGGTTAAACCATGTGCATTAAACTGCTTGGCTGAAGGTTATAATTTTTACACTGAACGTGCTCCTGCAGTAATAGATGGGACTCAGTGCAATGCTGATTCACTGGATATCTGTATCAATGGAGAATGCAAGGTTACAAATGTTCTATGAAGTACTTATGGATTACTTTGTTGTGTCTGGTGTCACCTACATTTAATTATGGTACTTGTACACTATATGAAACAGGAGTGTTGACAGGTCAAGTTGTTCATGAAAGTGTAAGGTTGAGACAAAAAGATAAAAAAGATGCTGCATAAAATAGACTGATCATTTGACTTTCACTAGCTTCTCATATACATTCACAGAATCCTTCATTTTGTCTTCTTTTTTACCTGCTTTATGGTTTCTGTTGAAGAGTCAATGGAAAGGGCAACAGGAGATGAACACATTCCTTGCACTGTTCCAAGTCCTGTTCCATCATTTCAGTCAGAACACCACTCTGGTTGAAAAACAGTAAATATAAACATGCTATTTATGTCTAACTAGTTCATCCTGTTGCAAACAATCCTGCTGTTAATGTAATTGACACTGAAGGTTGTCACTATTGCTCTGTAGTTCTGGGAAAAAATGTATCAGAATGAAAGGATTTGCCATTTACTAAAAATCTGACTATCTTGTAAGATAAGATTCCCATAGAATTGCATGACAAGAATTTCAATAGAGTTGGGGGTCTGTGCCACAATTCTTGGTTATATACATTCCACTGCTTCCTCTGCTGGGCAAAGCATTTAATTATGGACTTAAGTCTAGACATCTGAACATTACTGGTGACTGAAAACTATCCAATTTCCTGAATCCACTAACATAACTAAAGCTTAACTTAATGCTTAACTTCTTGGCTAAACTGAGGGCTGAAGATATATGTTTATGGAATGACATGATGAGATCAAAAGCTGTTGCCATGTATTAGTAAACTAATGAAAAAATATCAAGTTGAGAATGAGCTATGAATATGGGTGTCTGTTGTTTTGGTGGGTCAGTAAGTCAAAAATGTAAATGGTTGGAACTATAATGTTTTGCCAGTTATTTAAAGTATTTTAGCTTCTAGGTCTAAAGACCTATGTATTACCTGTTTACAAGATGGCAGATAATACTGCTAGACAGTAAACAGAGACAGCTAGACAGTTATGTAGCTGCCTTCTTTTTTTGTATAAATCCTGGAAAAAATTGGCAAGCTGCAGCCTTCATTCTGTTTACAACCTGCTTGTTTTATCCTACTTTTTTCCTTCCTTTTTTTTCTTTCTTTTTTTCCTCCCCCAGGGATCTATCTGTCTTTATTTTAATTTATTTTCATCTAATACAGCATGCAATTCTGCTTTTCACAGTTATGTAGCTGCCTTCTTTTTTTGTATAAATCCTGGAAAAAATTGGCAAGCTGCAGCCTTCATTCTGTTTACAACCTGCTTGTTTTATCCTACTTTTTTCCTTCCTTTTTTTTCTTTCTTTTTTTCCTCCCCCAGGGATCTATCTGTCTTTATTTTAATTTATTTTCATCTAATACAGCATGCAATTCTGCTTTTCTTTTCATGAAGCCATTTGCACTTTACGTTCAGACTTACGAAAATAATTGTAAGTTTTCCCTGCAGGATGTGTAAACATGGTCTATGAATCTGTAATGCCTTTGGGAACAGGAATACTATTTATGCTGTATAAATGTTTAAGGAACACACAGCAAATGTTTACCTTAACAAAGCAATATAGATGGAACAGAGTTAGCTGTTGTAGTATGAAATAACAACATCACTAATCATTTGTTGATAAGTATAATAATTATATTGTTTGTAAACCACTGTGAAATCCCTTCCTGAAAGTCACAGTAGAAATACAAGGTTCTTACTAATCAAGATTTGGTAACAACCCAAAATGTGGTCGCTCTCCTATTTTGTTTCCTTTGGCAAGTGAAAACCCACATGCAGTACCAGCTATCAAAAACAGAGTAGATAAAAAGAACTGAATAGATCAAATTTGAGAGAAACACTTAAAAAACCCTTTAAAAATAGTGATGCAAGACCATCATCCTGTTAAAACATTTGTTCTTATCTGTTCTCAGCATGTAGGTTGTGATAATATTTTGGGGTCTGATGCTAAGGAAGACAGATGCCGTGTTTGTGGAGGAGATGGGAGTACATGTGAAGCCATTGAAGGTTTCTTCAATGATTCACTGCCCAGAGGAGGTATGTACTTATATGTCCATTCTCTTGCATAATGAATTTACTTGACTCTAGCTAATACCCATTCTGCATTGATTCCCAGCATGGCATTGCTGCTGGTCATTCACTTTAACTCCTTTTGCCTCATTGTTTCCTTTTTTTCTGCGTTAGTTTGGATTTATCTCGAATACAATATGTTTCATTGCTGAATACTCAGTTCTGTTTCTCTTTAAGCACTTAAAAAATTAGTGGGGTGTTTTGGTTATTTAGTTATGGTGATATAGCAAGAGTAATGTTGTGAATTACTTTATTGTTAATGGTAGAATCTGGTAGTTAGTCATGCATGAAATTTTAGAATAGCATGAAATTTTAGAAATATCTCATAAGTTCATCATATTAAGAACCAGGAAATGTATATAGGCAATTATTGTAAAGCTTAGCTCAAAAAGAAAGAGACAATATTAGCCCTGTAATCTGAGTATCATGCTTCTAACATAGCATCAGTTTTGGACTCTACTGTGATACACTGGAGTTAGTTCAGACCAGTGAGGGACCAGTAGGATTATAGGGGTCTGGCATACTTGACCCTCTCTGAGGAGAGATCGACAGAACTGGGCTTACTTAGCCTGGAGAATGCCCTGGTTTATGGGTACCTAGTACCAGCCTTCCAATACTGTTGGAAGGATGTTGTGGAGAAAACAGTGTCAGGTTCTTTACAAGGATGTGTACATGGTGGGAGATGATTTAATGGCTATAAACTGATAGAAGAAAGGTGCTAATCAAATGGGGAAAAAAACCATTTCCATAGGAGGACAACTCAGAAAGGTTGTGCAGTTACCACCTCTGGAATTTTTCATGACCCAGCAGGATAAACTGCTGAGTAACTTGGTCTGATTTCATTCCTGCCCCTGCTGGTAGCAGGAAGTTGGACTAAGTGACTGGCTAAGGTCTTCTCGCACCTGAATTATCCTATGATCCTATGGTCATTTTATATGTTAATTACTTGTGATGAACTGTTGAAAAGACTTTGTTACTACTTAAGAAAGGAATTCCTGAATGCATAAGTTCTTGCTATCAGTTAAAAATTTTTTGCAGGAAGTTTAAAGAGCCTTCTTTTTTTTACCACACAAAAGAAAATTGCAGAATCACAGAATCAGTCAGACTGGAAAACACCTCTGAGATCATCAAGTCCAACTTATGACCTAACACCACCCTGTCAACTACACCATGGCACTAAGTGCCACATCCAGTCGCTCCTTAAACAAAGTACATTTGAATCACATATCTCATACTACGTTTTAGTTTCAAATAATTAATTAATGGTTAGTTTCGTACTTAATATTGATAAATGAAAATAACAACATGCAAAATGTATCTTTGTCTTATAGGGTATATGGAAGTGGTTCAAATTCCAAGGGGTTCTGTGCACATTGAAATAAGAGAAGTGGCAATGTCAAAGAACTACATTGGTAAGAGCAAGGTTTAAATAGCAGATTGTTATTAAGTCAGAGTTTATGTTGTGATTTGAAGGTACATTCTCTGGTTTGGTCAAACCATACGCACAGTAGAAGCAGCAGAGGGAAGAGTTACAGCAGTTAGTTAGGATATATTCTCTTGAATGGAGTTATTGAAATACACCATGTGATTCCTCCTTGTCCACTCTGCAAAATCATGTCAGCTTCACTAAAATGTTACTCTTGAACAGAAGTGGATGGGGAACACTCAAATGATCTACTGTCCCACTGTGAAGTAATGTCTTCCACCTGAGAAGTCTTGGGGGATTATATTGTTTTAAAACACAGTTTTATTTCGTCAGCAGCCATAGTTCCTGAAATGCTAACAATGCTGTCTCCTGACTTTAAGGCAAATTAATGTATTAATTCCAGTGTTGCTGTGTTGTAGGCATTATATGCCACTCCTGGTTTTCAGATAAGGAAAATGAAGAGCAGAAAAACTATGCAATTATTTGAGATCATTCAGGAAACCTGTTGTAAAGCATAAAATTAAATTAAAATTTCCGGGTTATTACTAATTTCTTTAAACACAAAGTTGCTTTCTGTTTGTTTTTTAATATTGGTATTAACAAATCTAGCTTAGTCAAACTCAAGGCAACCTGCATATCTGACAGCTTCTGTACTGTAGGTTGCATAGCAGTCAGAGCAAGAACATCCATTTCTTAGTCAGAAATAGACTAGAGAGCTGATTAGTTGTACAGCAAACTAACAGGTTTACACAACCAAAAGCTATTACCTCTTAAAACTGAAAAGCAGCTGCCAAGGCAGCTTCTGTCAGTCTGTAGTCCATGTAATTTGCATATAACACTAATGTGTTAGAAAGGATTGTGATGCCTGTGAGTGTGAGTTAGAGGCAATTATCCACATAGGTACACCAGTTCCTAGATGGATTATATTGACAGTAATGGTACCTTTTACTGTTGAATGCCTCCTTTTCTTTGTGCCTGCCCTGATCGTTCTGTAATTCAGCAGATACTCAATCTCCCTCCCTTCTGCAGGAATAATAACACTACTGCTCTAGCAGTTGAGGGCTTACTACTCTTTCAGCATCGCACTCCCCATGGCCACTCCCCCATGGCAAAATATACTGCATGTAAGTTTGCTCCTATATCCTATACTGGCATCTCAAGCATAGGTGGTGACAGGAAGGCATGCAATGCATCCTGTCATGGTCATTTTTCTGCTAAGAACTATTTCATGGACAGCTGGAAACCGGAACTAAAATGCTACTGCAATTGTTTATTTCTCTATAGGAATAGAGTGGAGGAAAGTGATCTGGAAAAGCATTTGGTTTGGCACCACCTGTATAAAATGGATGAAAAATGCAAAATTTTTTTGGCTTAAATAAAAAAAATTCATACACCTTCACTGGTATTTAATCTGGCCACAGATCTGAAAATGTAAAGTTGTACATAAACACTTTTTTTTATGTGCTTGTCACAATTTCAAGGGATTTCCTGAGTTTCAGGCTCTCTCCTCACTGCCTTGTTTCATGCCACAGAGCCCTGATTACACAAACAGGGGATTCCTCTCCTTCACTAGTTTCTCATGTTTCAACTGTCAAAGGTGCCATTATATCCTAGTGAAAGATAATCTTGTTAAGTTGCACGGGCTATTTAATTTTGTTATGGGATGTTTTGTTTTGTGAGTGTGAACCAGATCTCTGTTTTAGGATCACAAATTTCTGGTGAAAGGAAGGTTTCTGATTTGTCTACTCTCTTAAAAGAACTAGATAACCACAACAGTAGCTAAAAATGAGTTTAATATATTAAAATACATACCTCTAGGGTATTGTTTTATGGACATTTCTTTAGTGGCAATGTCAACTTCACAGCATCTTTTCAGTCTTTATTCAAGTCCCCCCTGTTGTTCCAGCTGTTTGTGTGGTCGCACCATGAAACAGATTAGAGTACTGATTCTGCTGAAAATAACCACTTAAAAATATTACTGTATTTTCTTTTATGTGCACTGCTGCCACATACGTGACCACAGTCTAAGAAATCAAAACGGTAATGAAATCGCCATTTCGAAGTATACAAAACTTTCTCCATTTTGGAGTAATCAAGTTATACTTGAATAATACAAGATGTCACTGCTCATTACAGGGGGTTGGACTAGATGACCTTTAAAGATCCTTTACCACATAAACAACTCTATGATTCTAAAATAGCTTAAAAATAAACCCCTCTTCCCCTGCAGTTGTCACACTGGCTTCAGAGTTTCTTCCTTGTTCAAACCAAGGCTTTCAAACTAACTCACAACAAACATCCCATGGTTCCTTAAACTAGGATTCAGTTCTTTGAGAGCCATGTCCTCAATTTACGATGCAGTTAGACCATTCAGTTGCTCAGTTAATGCCTGTCCTCTCTCATCCTCTCTCTGGCTGATCGCTTCTGTACCACTATCACTTCTAGTGATATGGTAACGAAAGCCCATTTCTGCAGCTGCACAAATAATGCTGTATTTTTACTGATCTGTCCAACAAATAACTCAGCAACAACAAAATTGCCTATGTTCAGAGCTGCTGAAAATATGTGCATTTGTTAATGCTGTTACCTTCCCTTAAATGGTTTGATCTAGGGCGACATCTGGCTTTATATTCCTCTTACACTAGTGCTATGAGGACTTCCAGCATTCTCAAGTTCTCATAAATTGCTTGGTTAGCACATGAACTTGTTCCTTCTGTCTCATATGCTAATAGCATTGTGCCACTGCATAACTGTTGTGTCATTATTGGAATGCTATTCCTGTGTGGGCTTCACCTGTGCATCACAACTGACAATAGATAAATCTATTTACACAGCAAAAATGCATTTTTCTTTGACAGTCAGCTAAAAAATCAGCAACTTTGCTTCTGAATATATGTTAGTTTGACTGTATATAACGTACATACAATTGATAGCACGTCATTTCAGAGATATTAATTACATAAGCATATATGTGAATGCTGGTACTCTGGTGCTCAATTATATATCTCTTGTAGTTGTTAGTATGTCTCAAATAATATAAATAAAAATCTATTATTTGCTCTTGCTAGATTCTTGACATACTGACAAGAAAATGCTTGGGATTGAATGGCACAGTAGGAGGGACTTCAATATGTCTCAGTAGCTTTGTGAGACCCTGTGACCTTCTTTTAATTAAGCTAGGTATTGTAAAAGCAGGATGGATAGAAATTTTGGTTACATGAAAATAGGACAACTGATAAAATGCTGATACTCAACTGTAACACAGTATTTCATATACCTGTGTAAAATAGCTAAACAGTTCCTTTCTTGTAGTACAGCTCTGCTTGCAATTTGTCTTGTTCTCCTATACTCACTGTTTTTATCATCTTCTTCTTGTACTGTAGAACTTATATAGACAATATGGAACTTCAGTTACCTTGAGAAGTCCAGTTAAATGAATATGTCTGATCTAGTTTCTTCACCAAAATACATGAGAATTTCCAAAGTAAATCCAGGGAAGTCAATGGAATTAGGCTTATGCTGTGGAATTTATGCTATTTTCAGACCTTATGGTGCTGATGAAAATGGTTAGTAATCCCTGCTGAATATTGCTGTCACCAGCAGAACATTACTGCGTCTCCCACTACGTCCTGTTTGTACAAGTGCTCTCTGATCTAGTTTAGAAAAGTTAAACATCATTGAGACATTTTTCCTTAACTGTTTGATGTAACCCAACTGTCCACACAAATGTAGTTGTGAATAAAACTTAAGACAACTTAAGTTGTCTTATTCCTTAATGTTATGAGTTTTTCCCTATCCAGTAAAGTCAGTTCTTTGTCTTAACGGAAAATTGCATGCTCTTTGATTAGAGGTTTGTGATTATTTTGCTTTTAAAAACAGTGTTTTTAAAAGTAAATATAAAGTAGATACATATAACTTAGTAATCTTCACTTTAGTAAAAAAGTCAATATCTAATTAACAGAATATTCACTTTAAGATACAGTGTTGGTTTCATATTTAGAAACTTAATCTAACATTACTGATAAAATATCAAATACAAATCCCTGAATAATATGTGCTTGTCAATCCTAATGGCTGGTTAGCTAAGGAATTTCAGTTTTATCTACAGTACTTTTATGATTCAAGACTGTAAATTAGGAACAATAAAATATCAGATTAAGTAACTACTATTTGTGTTTGCAGTAGAAATATCCTGTATTTATGCTTTAGTAAGGAAAAGAAAAGCAGCGGATAAAGGCAATAAAGGAAGACCTGATTGCTGCCATACATTAGAGTCAATGTTCCTTCTCTTTTTTTGCCTCTGCACTTTATCTGAGATTTTTATTCCATGCCTCAGTTTTTTAATCTAAAGATGATGTTCATAACTGTTCACACATTTCATACCTGCATGTATCTTATGTAGAACAGCATACATTGCACATGGGCTCAGTTTTAAAGCTGAAGATACACTGCAAGTTGCATGAGGCATTCTGATTTGTTCCATACATCATCTGCATGTTGAAACCTGCAAAGTACATCTGCACATTGAAGATCATTGCAGAGACAAAATTGTCATTGTTTGAGATATACTTTGACCAGGGCTAAAGAAAAGGCTTTATATTGCTTGAAAAAAACCAGTGACATAGAGCTGAAGATCACATATTTCTAACAGATTAGTAGATTCATTTACAGTGGCTTCTCCATTATAAATGCTGCTTCCAATTTTTAGGTGGCTTGTATTTTTTTTTAAGCTTTAAAATCTGAAGAGGATGACTACTATATTAATGGTGCCTGGACTATTGACTGGCCAAGAAAGTTTGATGTTGCTGGAACAGCTTTCCATTACAAGAGGCCAACAGATGAACCAGAGTCTTTGGAAGCACTAGGCCCTACTTCAGAAAATCTCATAGTCATGGTAAAGTCATAATTAATATATTTCTGAAATTTGAAATATGTATTTGTGTTCTGAGAAAAGGCAAAGCCACAAATGAAATCAAAACAGGTTGTGTTTTCAAAGAGGGTGCAGCTTGTCTAGCTGGGACTTTGCATGAGTGTTTAAACACTGCTTTCCTGCCTTTCAAAACTGACTGGCAAACATTGTGATGTAGCAGGGATAAAGTCAGAAGAGCAACAGGAAATCTGACAGGAAATGTGTCACCTCTGCTAAATGTGGTCCACTGTAACGGTAGCTGAATTTGTAAATGGGCTATATGTTGTATTTGCATACTGCTGATAAATTGAGGAGTTGAGCTATAGCATGACAGTCCCTGGTCCCTCCCTGATAGTTCTGTAGATGTCAGTGGTTTTAAGCCTGGCCTGAGTGTGACTATATGTTACTCTTACCACAGAAAAAGTGTAATGATTTGAGCCATGTTATAGTGTGCTGCCGTGACATGCATTGCTCTGAACAGATTGTATAAGGCATGAGAATGTAACAGAGTATGCGACCAGGATCCTGATACCATCTCTGACAACAGGCAATAGTGAGCCTGCAGTTCCACTACCATGTTGAGGAAGAATAAGGGGATACTTTCCCAGCATATTTGTCAGGTGCCAGATTTGCAGTTCAGGCATTCCCTGAGCCAGATGGGATATTTATTTTTTTATAGAATAATTGTTGCCTGGATATTCACATGTTACGCAGCGTTTTCAAACATCTGAATTCTCTATTTTTTCTTACATAGCTGTGGATAAGCTAGAGAGTCCATACAGAATGAGCTGTGCAGTTATTTTAGTGCCTTTTCTCATTCACTCAGTGTCACTAATTTGTATTTCTGTAAGTTCTCTGCTCTGTTGTTCTGTGGAGATAGGTAGGTGTGCCTTTGCAAGATGTCACAGAAAGTAGAAATGGATGACAAGTAGCACCAAGATTGTTGCATCTAACATGATATATATTATTAACAACAAAAAATATGTTTGCTAGAGAGTCAAAAGTGGGTTGGACAGGTGATATGTAGTAGTGCAGTTCAACAGTGAGGGTAGGCAAAACCTCGTGGTGATTGTTGCACTTTTGTCTATATATCCTCTACAGTGATGTCTCTGCAGCAAGAGTTTTGATACTCCCTTAAAGGAATCACACAGGTGTGATTCCTCCAAGTTTATGCTGTTGGTGATTGCATTAGGAAAAAACAATGCTCTCAGCAACAATTTGTTGCTGCTACTGCTATTTCTATTACAGTAGTCACTAGAAGTGGTAACAGGGCTTAGGTTCATAACTGCTATGTGGCATGTACTCATAAGATTTCAGTTACAACTGCTGCATGTTTGCACAATAATATCCTTGTTCACCTTTGACCTCCCATAGTTATTAAGCTCTCAAGTCAATTGCATGAAGATAGTAGTTCCATGAAAACTGGCTTTTTAGAACAATTTTGTCAGGAATAAGGAACTGACAGAAGCTATAAAGTTGTGTTAAGGGAGAAAAAAGACAAAGCTCACCTTAGACAATGATACTTTTCTTTTGCATATGTTTTAAAAGTTGGTACAGATTCTTTTGAGAATACCTAAAAGGACTATCTTGGTTTCCTTCATTACGTTTTTCTTTTCCACAGGACATGACACATGCCTAGAATAAATATCACTGTGTTTTCCCTATGCTTGCCTGTTTTAATGGTATAACCAGTTGTTTTCAACTACAGATTCTGCTACAGGAACAAAATTTGGGTATAAGGTATAAATTCAATGTTCCCATCTCTCGCACTGGCAGTGGAGACAATGAAGTTGGCTTTGCATGGAATCATCTGCCTTGGTCAGAATGTTCTGCCACTTGTGCTGGAGGTAAGATACCAGACAGTCAAGCAAGATACACTTCATAATTATCTAGGTGACTAATTGAAAACATTTCTTTCAGGCATGACTCAAACCTTAGTGAACATTTATTTCAATCACAATTTATTTTGTTGCTTTCAAGAATATGTAATGTTCAAATCTCTTTGTCAAATACAGTGTATCTTGGCACAGTGTGATACATCTTCTGAGACTCTCTTGCAGCTGATATGTTTGCTTTTCACAGGAGCTTTGTTGGTAAAGGACATCAAAAGTTTTAAGTAAGGAGATTAAAAACTGTAAGACAAATTAGGCATCTGTCAATACAGGGATGTGTCTTTGTGAGTTTGTTGATATGCTTCACATGATTCTAGTCAGCCCTTCTCTCCTTCAGCCACCAAAGTTTAGGATACATACTCGCAGCTCCTCTGTAGCAGATGATAACAATTGGATGAAACTTGCCAGCCCATAGCAGTGTCTGAGAACTGTTGCCCTTTGGCAGCCATGGGGGATTTGTAGGTTGTCCCATGCGATTCATCATGGGTGGCTTTTGCCCACAATTTACAGTATTCCTAATCCTCCCTCTAGTGGCCACCAAGGCAATTCTTTACCTCTGCTGGGAGAGCAGGACAGTTGGCTTCCTTCAAAGCCAACACCATTGCTGCTGCAAGGACTGGTGAGTAGAAGTGCTGTGTGAACAGTATCTTTCTTCTCTCTGGAGGCTGAATGAATCATCTCCCCAACATACCTCTGTTTCAGAAGATATGGGAGAATCCTTTAGGTCCACCTTCTGAATTTCAGTTTCGACTGCACGGTGCACAGCCCTTGGCAAAAGGAAGACACCATCTTTTTTTTAAAGAGCCTTTGGACCAAATATTTGTAATTTTCTTGTGTTTTTTTTACTGGCGACTGGAGGTATTCATGTGTAGAACCATCGTAGCTCACCTTTCTGCTGGAAACTGCTATGGCTGACACTAGTTGTCTGCAGTTTAAATACAACTGTCTACTTAGCCATATGTAACACACAAAGAATAGCATGAACTCTCTTCTGTGCCACCAGAGAAAGTATTGAAACAAAATAGAGTAAGATGCAAAACTTTCTCCAGTATTTTAGTTGTCCGTTTGTTGGATTCCTGAGTGACAGATTGCTTTTTTTAACTACAGTTTTAGTAGTGGTAAGTGTGGTAGGGAAAAGAACATTTTAAAGAAGTATAAAGAAGGAAAGTACCTAGCTCATAGCAAAAGAAAGTTCCAAGTATCAGAACCTTACGAGTACTGTCAAATCCTATATTTTATGATGGCAATGAGCTAATGATCTTTCAGGAGTCATAGGAAAGCTCCCATTGATTTTTAGGTAGAGACAAGATTTTAGCCATGGATCTTCTATCATTAAGGTCATTGTCAGTTCATGCATTTGCAATATACAATGGAAAACAATTGGCTCTGAAGGAACAGGCACTTGTCTAACAAACCTGTATGTAACTAACTCAGATGGGAAGATTTGTGAATCCCTAAGAACTGCATATATTTATCAATTTTAGACTCATAGTGGGGTGAAGGACATATTTTCTTTGGTAACTTATGGTGGCTAAACCAGGCACTTTTCACTCCTTTCTTTCAGCTTAATAAAAGGATGCGCTGTGGTCACTTATTTTCACTGAGCACTGTGTTCAGGGGGTAAATATTTTACTGCAGCTATAATTCATGTTAAAAACTGCATCTGTTTTCTTCATGTGAGTACCTGCTATTCCCCTCAGTTTATCAAACAGCTTTCACCATATGCCAAAAGAAGACACAATTCTGAGTCGGGGAAAAATAGAAGGGAGAAAAATGTTTTAGAGACAGAGACTTTAACTGGAATATGAAGCATTGAGAAGACTTAGAAATGAAACCACTGCATGTCTTTGTTTATTTCTATTCATTATGGAGTCCGTTATTGGAGTTCTAGTTCCTTGAACTCTGTCTTTAGAAGACATTTTGCTAGATGTTAAAGGATAACAGAATATTAAACAGTCAAAGAATTTTTTACTGAAAGTAAAAAAGAATAATAAACATGTGTAAAGAATATTAGTATGGACTTTTTTAAAATTTTTGAGGTTAAAAAATATGTAGTGACTTAGGGCCAGACTGTGAACAAGGTAAAGAAATCAACATTTTCCTGCCTCTCACTGTAGTTGGTGTAGTTAGCCATGGACTGATCAGGTTTTGATGATATGATTTGTCTTGATCCAGTAAAGCTCTAGAAAAAATTGAACCAGATATACTTTTATATCAAAGTATCGGGTTTATGTCAAATCTGTAGGCAAATCTAAATTCTAACCAACACACTTCTATCCATCTCTGAACATGTCTGTATTTTAATGTTATGCCTTTTTGCCTAGGTGTATATAACACTTAAAAAGCTGTCTTAGAGGGACATGAAATTTTCAAGTATTTAGAAGCCAGGAAATGTCAGAATTAAGGATTAATATGAAATCTTGTTTTCTGTAGCTGTGGTTTTTCTATGAAATAGGCACCAATTGACCAAGGACCATTTTTAGAGGCTGTGTCACAGGCTAGCTCATGTCCACACAACATTAAGTCTAATTAAGGCTCTAATTCACACCGACTGTATCTGCATTACATACCTTTTGACCATGTCTGTGACTCTTAAAACTCAAGTTTTAAGATATTTTTAACATTATTTTTTCAATGGTTTTTCTGTGTTGTGAACTTGAGGATATGTGCTGAATACCACGAAGCAAAGCGCAAAGGCACTGTGGCAATGCAAAGTTTAAATAGTTTTGGTGTATTGTATATTGCTGAAGTATCTGATTTTTTGTGCAGTCTCTTCTCTATAGTGCTTTGGGAGCAATCCACTGTGTTCAGATCTTCCCAGAGCTGTTTGTACTCCTTATCTCAGAGAAGGGTAACTGGAGCAGTCAGGAGCCAAGTAATGAGCTAAAAACAAACTAGAAACAACCTGCAATCTTTGATTAGATGCTAACTGCTCTTTCCCATTAGACTCCTATCTTATGTTCATCTCTGCTGTGCTGGGGAGTCGCATCTGAACAGTCAAAATGCTTTAACTTTTCAAGCAGGACCTCTATTCTAGGGCCTGTATCAGCTTTGCAGAATAGGAATAGCATAGTAAGTGAAATGGTGGGAAGGAGGAGATGTGTTTCCTGCTTATGACAGCTCAGTGCAGTGCCAGAGCTCTGAATTTCATTCCTAACTCCCCTGTGTGGTTCTTATGTGATACTGAGCAATCCTAAGCATACATTACAGTCTTACTTGCTAATTATCAGTTCATTATTATATGAGTACCTCTCTGGAATTTCTGACCTACACAGCATGCAAGGAATTACATCATCACATGTGAAAACTCAGCCAGGCACCTGAAATCAATGGATTCTCCGCAGTAGACATTATACTTCCTCTCTCCCTGTATTCTCCATAGAATCATCTAGGGGATACATTAAACTTAATGAAATGAACAGTTACATGTTTAGATTGTCTCTAAAAACAGAAGAAAATCTTGTATGAGAGGCAACCCTGGCTGTAGGGACCATGACATTGTGGAGTTTGGTACTGAATGAAGAGCAGGACAATGAGCAAAATTACAAGTACAGACTCTGGAAAGCTAACTTTAGCCTCTTTAGGGATATTCTTGGATCCCACGAGAACAGAGTCTGCAGGGAAGAGGGCTCCAAGAAACCTGGCTGCTGTTCAGGGATAACCTCCTCCGGGCTCAAGTACGATGCATCCCAATGAGAATTAAATCAGGCCAAGGGAGCAAGAAATACACAGGAGATGGAAGCAGGGTCAGGCAACTTGGAGTGAACATAGAAAGGTGGTCAGAGAAAGCAGAAATGAGACTAGAAAGGCCAAGGCCCATCTAGAATTATTCTGACCAAGGATATCAAGAATAACAAGAAGGGCTTTTTCCAATACATCAGTAACAAAAGGAAAGCAAAAGGTCATGTGTGCCCATTAGTTAATGGAGAGGAAATCCTGGTAACAGATGACACAGAGATGTCAGAGTTACTGAATGCCTTCTTTGCACTGGAGGATTGAGCCAGAGAATGCCTAAACAAACTCAACATCCACATGTCCAGGAGCTCTGATGGGATGCATCCATGGGTGCTGAGACATCTAGTAGACATCATAGCCAGGCTGCTCATGATCATCTTTGAAAGGTCATAGAGATCAGGAGAGGTGCCTGAGGACAGGAAGCAAGCAATAACAGCTGGTCTTCAAAAAGGGCAGGAAGGAGGACCCGGGAAACTATTATCCCATCAACCTCATCTCAATCCCAGGAAAGGTGATAGAATGCCTCATTCTGGAGGCCTTCTCTGCCCACATGGATGACAAGAAGTTGATCAGGCGTAGTCACCATGGATTCACTAAAGGTAGTCATGTTTGACCAACCTGATTGCCTTCTATGATGAAACTACTGCCTGGATGGATGAAGGGAGAGCAGTGGATATTGTCTACCTCGACTTCAGCAAGGCTTTCAACATTGTCTCACTGCATTCTCACAGGCAAACTCAAGAAGTGTGGGTTGGATGAGTGGACAGTGAGGTGGATTGTGAACTGGCTGAATGGCAGATCACATAGTGTTATGATCAGTGGCACAGAGTCTAGCTGGAGGTCTGTCCTAGTGGTGTCACTCAGGGTTCAATACTGGGCCTGGTATTGTTTAACTTGTTCATCAGTTACTTGGATGAGGGGACAGAGTTTTCTTCTCAGCAAGTTTGCTGAGGACACAAAACTGCAAGTAGCGTCCTCTACCTGAGCTCTGTGCAGCCCTTCAGGGGTACCTCAGCAGGTTGGAGAGATGGGCAGAGAAGAACTGTCTGAAATTCAACAAAGGCTAATGCAAGGTCCTGTACCTGGGGAGGAATTACACTGTGCTGGGGCTGACCTGCTGGAAGGCTGCTCTGTGGAGAAGGATCTGGGAGACTCACTGTGGTCCCTTCCAACCTGATCTATTCTGTGATTTGATGAGAGATTGTAAGCTGTGCATTTAGTAGTGTTACTAATATTAAGGGAGAGAAGCACAAAGTATTCTACAGTATCTCTGTCAGTGAGTATGATGCTCACTGTACAGTGAACCAAGCAGAAGTCAAGTCTCTGAAGTCTAATGTCTATTTTGATATTGTCTTAATTTTTTTTTCTAAAAAGAAGTTCTTCATATTTACCATGTAGTTAAAAAGGTTTGCCTGGTAACAGACAACTGCTTTATTTTCCTGGATTCCTGTACTTACATGTAGGATATTAATATACTTCCATCAATTTTTAATAGCACTGTCATTCTTAGGCTTGGAAATCCAGAATTGCAGCTCTTCTTTTTGTACACTAGAACCAGTATTTTCTATATTGAAAACCTTTGCTTTAAAGTGCAAATGAGCTAGTTCTTCCTTTCTGGGAGTATTATGTAAAACTGAGCTCCATATTAATTAATTTTTTTGCCTGAAAGTTCACTAATAACTCTTCTCCTCTGAGTCAAGATTTTTCAGAAGGAAAGTTTGTTGCTATCTAATATAGGTCTTTATAGCTGCTGGCAGGCTTGGACATGACTACAGTAGCACATTGTCAGAGAATACCAGAATGTACAGTGCAAGTTTATCTATACAGAGAAGTGATGGAGAGGAGAGAACACAAGGGGAATCAGAAAAAAATTGATGACAACAATACGAGATCTTCTTTAAGGACTTGATTATTATTTATTGAGAAAGAACAAGAAAGGGAAAAACAGAATATGTAGAAATAAATAATGAAATAGTAAAATGAGGTCTGGAAAGAGAAAAAGAAAGAGCTACATTAGAAAAGGGTTATATGTATCACTTACAGATCACAGAATGTAGTTTATTTACTCCCCTGCTTCT